TCCCTCTCCCCCCAGCCCCCAAAAAAGCACAGGAGGCCACTGCTTGCCTTGCAGGTGTGCTGGAGAAGGGTGCTGGGTGGGTGCCTAACCCTGGGTCTCTCTTGGCAGCCGAGGTGGTCCGGTGCCTGAACAGTGCCCTCCAGGTGGGCTGTGGGGCTTTTGCCTGCCTGGAGAACTCCACGTGTGACACGGATGGCATGTATGACATCTGCAAGTCCTTCCTCTACAGTGCTGCTAAGTTTGACACTCAGGTACAGTACCCGTGGGAAGGGGATGGGAATAAAACCCTCCCTTGTCAGGGTTCCCTCCTCGTCTCCCTGTTCAGTAAAAGTGCTTTGGCAAGTCCTGAGACACCTGCTTAGATGCTGTGCTGAATGGATGCCTGGATGTCTCTGTCCTCGTGGAGATGGGGTCTGGGCAGGCTTAACCCTTCCTTTCTTGCAGCCCTTCCTGCTGCTTAGCTGCTCCTCTGAGCCATGGCTTTGGGTTTTGGCTGCAAAGGGATCCTTGGGGACTTATTTTCTCCCCTACATTTTCCACATGCTGTGTGCCATGTGTGAGGACTTGGCAAGGAGCCTCCTGTGGGGAGGAGAGCTAAGTTTCCTCTTCAGGAGGAAATAGAAATGTTCTTCTGGCTGTGTGACCTGGCACAGGGCTGGGATTTGGGTTGGAAGTCTTTGGGCCTGGGAATGCTCAGAGCAGCCTCTCTGGAGCTGCAGGGCCTGGCACTGTCATAGGTCATGGAATCACAACCATGGGGATGGTTTGGGTGGGAAGGGAGCTGAAAGCTCATCCAGATCCAACCCCCTGCATGGGCAGGGACACCTCCCACCAGCCCAGGCTGCTCCAAGCCCCATCCAACCTGCCCTTCAACACCCCCAGGGATGGGGCAGCCACAGCTTCCCTGGGCAACCTGGGCCAGGCTCTCACCACCCTCACGGTGAAGAACTTCTTCCCAAGGATCTAACCTAAACCTTTTGGGAAGAGGAGCTGGCTGTTCTCCCTGCATCCCAACTGAAGCTGCTGTGAACCCAACTGTGCAAGAATTATGAGCCTTTAGGGTCCAATTCCCCACCGTGCTTGGTTAGGGATCTCCAGCAGGTCTGTAATTGTAGCAAGGGTAATTAATAGCAGCCAGCCCCAGCTGAGCATCTCCTGATCTGTCCCTTCCTCTGGAATCTCTTTGCAAGTTGAAGTTTTTCCTTCTGTTTCCTTCAGGGAAAAGCTTTTGTGAAGGAAAGCTTGAAGTGCATCGCCAACGGGGTGACGTCCAAGGTGTTCCTGGCCATCAGGAGGTGCTCCACCTTCCAGAGGATGATCTCCGAGGTGCAGGAGGAGTGCTACAGCAAGCTGGACATGTGTGGCATCGCCAGGCGCAATCCTGAAGCCATCACTGAGGTGGTCCAGCTCCCCCACCAGTTCTCCAACAGGTAGGTGGAGTTTTCCCCTCTGCTGAAAGGGATGAAATGCGACCGTGTGAAGTGCAGAGGAAGGAATGAAGCAACTTGGTGGCCCTGCCCGTGCAGGGGGGTTGGGTCTAGATGGTCTTTCAGGTCCCTTCCAACCCAAAGCAGTCTGGGATTTGACAATTCTGATTCTCCCAGCCCTGATTTTCTCCCCACTGAGAGGGTGTTGGGCTCTGCTCCCTGCCCCAGGAAAGCTGGGGAGGGACATGGGACAAGGGCAGGGAGGGATGGGATGAGGGGGATGGATGAAAAGTGGGAGAGGGAGCTGGAGGTTGGAGCTGAGGAGGGAATTCTTTGGTGTGAGGGTGGTGAGAGCCTGGCCCAGGTTGCCCAGGGAAGCTGTGGCTGCCCCATCCCTGGGGGTGTTGAAGGGCAGGTTGGATGGGGCTTGGAGCAGCCTGGGCTGGTGGGAGGTGTCCCTGCCCATGCAGGGGGTTGGATCTGGATGAGCTTTCAGGTCCCTTCCCACCCAAAACCAGTCTGGAATTCTATTCCATGACTAACTTCTTACAAGCTCTAATACAGCTTAGCCTGAGCAATGCCTTGTGAAGTTTGAGCAGCATTCTTCTGCTTCTCTTTTTGGTAAAGACATTTATAAACATCTCCAGGGGAGAATGATAGAATGACCCACATGACTTCAAAGGCTGGAGTTGGTTTCAGTGTTAGCTCTTCTTGGTTTGAATGCAGTGGGATGGCAAACAGGTTTTAAATACCAAACCAGTTGGATTTTTAGGTGGCATCACTGGAATATTGAGCACTTTAGATCTTCACAAGCTGTTGCACCTTCATTCACTTCTCCAGCCAGCCCTGTTTGGGGTTTGTGGCACCTCTGACTTGCCCTGGCAATATGAAGGACTAGGAAAGCTGGAAGGGAAGCAGCAGGCAGGATCCTCTGTAACCTTATTCTGCCATGATCCCATAGTTCATGTTTCTGGGGATACTCTGGTGTCCTTCATGGTCTCTTTTAGGGTTGTCTTCATCCCTGTTCCATCCAGCAAAGGCTGCCTGCAGGAATGGGCACATCATGCTGCTCTCTGTGCTTGGTCTGAGCACTGAGCTGTCCTGTCCCCATCCTCCAAGGACAAGGGACAGGGAGAGGCTTCAGGGAGCTGCTGCAGTCTGCCCAGTCACGCTGCAAGGGCAGGGATTTCTTCCTCTAAATCCTGGAACAATCAGTGCTGAGTCTTGTGACTGGGATAAAAGGGATCTTTTTGAGCAGTTTGAGTCAATATGGTCTAGAATTTGAGTGCAAACAGAGCAAGCTGCAGTTTAAGATGTGGGCTGGGTGTGGTGAATAGTACAGCTCCTCTGGGGTGGCTGTTGGACTTGGTCTTGAAGCATTTTAAGCCTCCAGACCTGTCCTAGAACAGCTGCACAAGTGATACTTGGATGTTGCATCTCTGACCAGCATGAATTTCTTATAGAAAACTCTCTTGTAGATAAATCCAGAAAATTATTCTTGTGGGAAAGGGAAAATGATCCTTGTGTGTCTTTCCCCTCTTTCCCCCTCCCCCCCAAGGCACATTTGGGAGAGGTTTGAGTGTCCCCTGAGGGCTGGGACAAGGAGCAGGCAGCTCTGGTGGTGTCAGTGTTGGTCAGTTCACACAATGGGTTGTAGAGTTAAACTGCCCTTTTGGGGGGGCCCTGGGGTGAAGGGGGGACGTGTGGACACTTGGGTGAGGGAGGATGCAGTGACACTGGACGTGCTGGGGATGTTCCTCTCCATGGGCCAGTTCCTGAAGCAGAGCTGGTGGCTGCCCAAGGTGGAGAGAGCTCCTCCCCCACAGCCACCAGCCCTTGTTGGAGCCAAAGGATATTATGACATGTTGAGTAACAAAAGCAGCAGGATTTCCCAGCTAATAGTTTACACTGAGGGCTCCCAAAGCATCCTGCTTTCCCAGCCCCTGTCCCAACATAGCCATGGAATAAGAATGTGCCACTTGGCCTGGGACACCGAGAGGAAGTAGTTAAAGGTCATAGCATCTTCCTGTGATTTAATCTCATGGCAGGAGCAGGAGGAGAGGAAAGCCTTGTTGACTTTGCTGGCAGTTCAGCTACCGAAAGGCACTTGGGAGCTGTTTGATTGCAGCTCCAGCTCTGGAAAGCACCAGGCTGTGTTTGTGTGGCAGGAGCAGAGCAGAGGGAGGTGGACAGGATCTGTTCCTCCTGCCCTGCTGGAGTGGGGCTGATTCAGGCTGGACACATGGCTCACACAGATGTGTTCACCAGCAGCTGCTGGGCACACTTCAGAGCTTCATGTTAGGGCTGTGCTTCTCTATGCTCCCCTGTGCCAGAGCCTGCTCCTTTTGTGCTTCAAGTGCAGCAGAATCTTTACCCTCATCTGACCTCCACGGGCTGCTCGAAAGGCCAGAGCTGAGGGTTAGGAAAGGAGTTTGAATGTGAACTCTCATTTCCCTCTTCCTTCCCCTCCTCCACCTGCAGGTTATTCTCTTTTCTACTCCTGTGGAAAAATGTCACGGTGACCTTAAAGGCTTAAAATAAGTTCCCCATCGTCCTTTCAGGCAGGAGTAGCCCAGCAAATGTGGGGCTGCTCCTCTTTTCCCAACTTTCTCTCCTGGGGAAGATGTTCAGCTTTTTTTCACTTGCCAGCTGGGCTTTCCCTGCCCGAGCCAGCCATGCAGGCAGGGCTGTGCCAAGTCTACCAGAGCCCCATGGAGGATCAAACCTTGGAGCACTGTTCTCCACTTGGCTCCAGCAGCTCTGGGAAAGCAGATCAGCATCATTTCCTGGCTCCCTCCTTGGGCAGGGAACAGGTACTGGAGGCTGCTGGAAGGCAGCAGCAACAGGGCAAAGCAGAAGGTCCTCACTGGGGGGTTTCATGCATGGGCAGCTCGTTGGAAGTGACAGCTGATTGCATGTCCTGAAGATCTGTCCCCCAGAAATACAGGCATCTGGCAGGCTCAGAGTTGGGCTGAGTTTGCTTCTGCCTCTTCTGGTCCATTGCAGAGGGAGGGGAAGGGAGAGGGATGGAAGGGAAGGGTGCCAGAGGGATGGGTACATGCATGGGAAGGGTCTTGCTGGCTCAGACCAGTGGTCTCTCTGGTGTCCTGTCCTGTATTATCTGTCAGTTAGAAAGTTGCCATTATTTTTCTTCCTAAACCTCTAGGAACTCAGGTTGTTTAGCAGAGAGTGAAACACCCACTGAAGCCAAGTCCTGGGTCATGTCAGGTCCTTGTTCTCCCCTCCCTCCCCACCCACCAGGATCCAGGCACAAGGATCCCTTGTGCCTATAGCCTTGCCTCCCAGAGCTGGAGCAGCTGCACTCTTGGGATGGTTACATGACCTGTTGAACAGGTGATGTGTCCCTTCTCCATCTCACGGGCCCAGCAGCTCCAGCTCAGGGCACTTGGGAGGAACCGCCCGTCGTGCGCGGCGGGGAAACCCGTTTCCTACCCCAATCTGAACGACTTAAAAACCTCTTGATTCTCACCATCTCCTGCCTTGAGATCAGCTCTCACCTTGTCTCCTTGCCGTGGAGTAACGGGTGGTAACTCTGGTGCAGGTATTACAACAAGCTGGTGAGGAGCTTATTGGAGTGCGACGACGAGACCGTCAACACCATCAAGGACAGCTTGATGGAGAAGATTGGGCCCAACATGGCCAGCCTCTTCCACCTGCTGCAGACTGACCAGTGCTCCCAGGGCCACCCGCGGGCTGACTTCGCCAGGAGACGCATCTCAGAGCCTCAGAAGCTCAAACTCTACCTGAGGAACCTGCGAGGTGAGGGGACCAGCCCGGCCCACGCGAAGCGCAGCTCCCACGAGAGCACCTAACGCCCCGGGGAGCCCCGCTGGGTGTGCAAGGGATGCTGAGCACCACCAAAGTCATGCACCCAAACCAAGTAGTACTGTAGCTAGTTTTCATAGCAACCAGGAACTGGTTTTAGGTCTAGGCAGTCATCTTTTCTATTCCTCTGGAACACAAAAACCCTCTTGCATGGGTCTCGCGTTCGGTGTCTCAGCTTTCCCGCCGTCCAAATGTCTCCATCTCTTTTGCTTTGTCCCCCTCCCACAGAAAGACACCCCGAAACAATCTGAGTCTTAAGTAGAACCCTGCAGTAGTCAGACTCCAAACTCGGAGTGTCTCGTAGCACTGACACCATCCAAGATTTGGCAGCAGGGAGAAGGACTTGTTCTCTCTGGCCGTAAGCTGGGAGGAGATGATAGATGCACTAATAACTCTTGCACATCCTAAAGGTATCAGTGGAATTCGTGTTATGAATCTGTGCTGGCCATGGACGAATATGAATGTCATCTTCCTGGTCTCTTAGTGTCCTACAACCCTCATCCTTCCACCACAGCTCCCTTGAACCCGTTGATTGACCCAACTCACTGTAGCTGGGGGGTGATTCTAGTGACCGTGACCTGGCACCAGGGTGCAAAATGAGCTACAACCCACACACCCATCCTGCCCCCTGACACACACCCAGCCAGGAAAGGAACATTTTGTACTAGGGAAATGATTACAAGAGGTGCCAGTTGATGGTTGAAGCTAGTCAGAAGGTTACATAATCTTGCATTGTATTTAAAAGCTAACATCTATGTACTGTATTTAACTGTCTAAAGCTTTAAAAGAAATCTTAACAAACAAACAAACAAATACCAAGCCCTGTCTTAAGACTAGAGTATTAAAGGTCTTGCTCTAACTGTGGTATAAATAGTTTTAAAATCTGTCATGTACTGTACATAAATTCCACGAGAGTCTGCTTAAAAGAAGCAGAATATAAGAACTTTATTGCATAAACTTAGTTTTGTACCTTAGCTATTTGGGTTTTTTTCCTGGAAACAGTATCTCTGTCCTATTCAAGAGTTCACATTCTACTCTGTGGCCTTTTTGTAATGGAAGAGAGGAAATGTTTAGGGCAGGAATGATGAAGACAGGGCCAGGAAGGAGCCTCTCAGAGTTAGGGAAGGGAAAGAAAAAGAAGGGAAGAAAAGAAAAGAAAAGAAAAGAAAGAAAAGAAAAGAAAAGAAAAGAAAAGAAAAGAAAAGAAAAGAAAAGAAAAGAAAAGAAAAGAAAAGAAAAGAAAAGAAAAGAAAAGAAAAGAAAAGAAAAGAAAAAGAGAAAAGAAAAACAGTCTGGCCAGTCTTGTGTCCTCAGAGCTTTTGGGGACTTCATGAACAAAAAGCTGCTTTGGGATCTCATAGCTCCACAGGGGTAAAAACTTCCAGTAGAAAGTTGATTTCTGGGAGAAGGCAGGGAAAAAAACCCAACCAACCACCAACCCAAATCCTTCCATTCTGTTGGGCTTCAGAAGCAGCTCCATCCCTGCCTGCAGAGCCACATGGGCTGGGGATTTTCCTCCCCTGGGGCTGGGGGCTCCCCCAGGCTCTGCCCAGCAGCTGGGGCTTCAGGGAGCCAAATAAAAAACCCCCATGGTGGCATGTGATCCCCCATGCTCCAGATCTACCCATGAGAGTCCATCTGCAGAGTGGATGACTCTTCCTCAACTAGTCAGAGAGCTCATCAAGGAGGGATCTCTTTTTCTTCTCAAAAAAAAATAATCTAAAGCAATATAACTTCTTCTTTTTATTCTTTTTTTTTAATTATTCTTTTTCTTTAAAACCACAAAGCCTTTAAACAAGAACTTGCTGCTAATATATTGAAACCAGATGCAGTGGCAGCATTGCTAGTGTTGCTGCCTTCATGAAATGTAGCCCCAAAAAGTGCTGTCATAAAATGGCAAGAGGCAAACCCCCCCCCCCGTTGCTGATGGTAGAGGGTGGTTGTTGTTGTTATCATTATTATGATTAATAATAATTGTTAATACTCTGAATCGTGGCGTCCAGGGCAAGCAGGGTGGACATCTCACAGCCACGATGTCCATGGAGATGCTCCTCATGGCTTCTCTTTGTGCCCCCATTCCTAGGACAACCCCAAGGAGGTGGATGACGTTGCTGCGGGGCTGGGGAGGAGGGTTTGCTCACCCCCGAGCCTTCCCTTTCTTTGGGTTGTCATGAACCTTGTCTTCCCAGTGGGAATTCCAGCTTCTCGTCCCCTGAAATCCAGGTGGGAAGACCATCTGGGAAAATAAAGAATTCCCCCCTGGGTTCCATTTGGGGTGACAGGTGAAGATCACCTGGGCCAACCAAAGCTCTGCCTCTCCTGCCGCTGGGAACGCGTCGGGTGTGGGAGGGAGGGAGAGAGGGAGGGATCCTGGGCTGCACCCCCAAATCCTTGGGCTGCTGGGACATCCCACTGGTGTTCCTGGCTGCAGCAGGAGGGCAGCTCCACATCCATCAGCTCCCAGGGCTTCACCTGGTCTAACTTTTGCCATCCAGCCCAAAGCTGGTTGGGTTGAAACTCTTCCCCGGGGGACACGGAGGTGGGAGAAGCCCTTCCCACCCAGGATTTGGGTGGGTTGAACGAGGTGAGAGAAGTTCCCCTGGGGCTGGGGAAGGAGCCTCAAGATTAAGTCCAGCTATTTCACCTTTTATTTAATCTCTGATGCTTCCTATTTTTTTTAATCTTGCCTTCATTGCAAAGTGATTTCTCTCTTGGGGGCGGGGAGGGGCTTCTCTAGAAACGTTTGCATGATTCTCCTTGTGATTTGTTTGCACTTTAGGTGTTTTGTGCCATTATCAAGTTGCATTGTGTATTTATAATTTAAAGATACCTAGAAGGGGGAAGAGAGTTTGGGTTTGTTTGGGGTTTTTTTTGTTGTTGTTATTTTGCTGAGTACTGGAATAAACAGTGAGCATATCTGGTATATGTCATTATTTATTGTTTAAATTACATTTTTAAAGCTCAGTGTGTTCATATAAAGGTTATTTGAAACATATCATAGTAATGAGAAAGATGCAAGTTATTTTCTTTGCTTATTTTTATAATTAAAGATGCATAACATAATGAGGCCTATGTTGGATTTTTCTTCTGCAATGAAATAAAATGTCAAATTGAAGGGGTTTGAGTGTCTTGGCTCTTTCATCCAACCTTCCTGTGAGTGCTGAGTGTGGTGCTACCAACAAGCAGGTGGTTGAACTTGCCTGGGACTCAGCTTTGTAGCTTTCTATGTCTGCCCTGGATTCTGAATAACTGATAAAATTAAGGCAGAACCATTTGGGAATGAATAAGCCCCAACAGCATTGCAGGAAAAATAAAATACCTTGACTTTGGCTTTGATGTCCATGTAAATCTGCATTTACACTTCATGCAGGAAATCTCCAATTTCCAGTGGAAGATGAAAAAAAACCCCATTTAATACTCAAAAGAAGAGTGGCAGAGTAAGACTTGCTGCTCCAAAAGGTGCTGCAGAGTTTAAGGAGCTATTTTCCCCCCATTACAGGCTTGTCCAAGAGAACCAAAGAATAAATATCTGCAATACAAGGTGGGTTAAAAAAAAATCCATCAATCTCTTCTTCCTTCTTGTTCTCCCCAGCAAATGGAAAATATTCCTTTCAAAAGGAGCTGCTGAAACTTTGCTGGTGTTGAAACCTCTTTTTAGTTGGAAGCAAAGTTCATAATAAGCTACAGTCAATGAGCAAAAATCTGACTTTGTCCCTCTTTGCTAACAAATAATAAGTGAAAAGCAAAAGGGATGAGTAAGAAATGTCCCTGGGCATTGAAGCCCTGAGGGTTCCCAGGGGATACACACCCAGCTCCCCTCTGAGTCAAGTGCTGCCGAGTCACCCCACATGCTTTGGGGCATGGATGTCACCCCCTGATCTGTTCATTTTGCTTTTCCATGAGGAGGGATCCCCAAAAAATCACCTGCTGGGCACGTGGAGCCACTTACCTGCCACGCTGGTCGTTGGGGTGGTGGTGTTATTGTTGTTAGTCTTGATATATGATGATAATATAGTATCTTCTATAATTTATCTCTCAGCTTCAGTGTTAATCTTTGAAGAGCTCTTGCTGAAGATCTGGGAATGGATGGACATGGTTTCCTTGGATTTTCTGCCTTAGATATCAGGCTTTCAGTAAGAGCAAGGAGACCTGTTCACAGGCTCAGTAAGAAAAGCTGCCTCCTCTGAGCCTGAAAACCCCCCTGTGCCTTCAGGGCACTTTGCAGATGGTTCCCACCACTACAAGTAACACTGTCCATGCAGTGTTGGTACATGTTATTAAATATGATTAAATAGATGAATAATCATAGCTTAGAATTGAATGGCAAATTTTTTTCCCTGCCCCCCCCAGCTGCCACAATAATTCTGAAGTGCAACAACTTCTCCCCAGTTAGCAAAAAGAAAGAATAAGAAATAAATCATGCTTAGGCCAGTGCTGGTTTGATTTATTTCCCCAAAAAAATGGCCACAGAAGCTGAGGTCTGACCCAAAAAAATGCCCAGGGTAAAGAGGGAGCAGCTCCTGGGAGAGGAAATCTCAGCTGGATGGTGATGGGGAGCTCAGGGCACCTGAAAGTCCTGGTTATCATCTTCAGGTGGAACAAACAGAGCAGGAGTTAATTTGATTTGGCCCAGGCCCAAAGCACAGGAGTGACTGAGGTTCTTGTCCTTTTTTTTAAATTTCATTATGAAACCAGGGGGAAAAAAAAAGAGTTTCAGGTTTTCCTGGTTCCTCAGCCCTTCCTGCTCCCTGTGCTGAGCGTGAGGGGAGAGGGAGGTGGGATCTTCAGCACCTGGAGTGACACTGGGCAAAGGGATTGGGGGGCAAAATTTGGGAGCAGCCTTTGCTTCCTGCCTCTTGTGAATGCAGGAAAAAAGAAGGGCAGGAAAAGGAAGAAATGACAATCTAAGAAGGGACATTGTCTTGGCCACCCTGATTCAGCCCCTGTGACTGGGAATATGAAAGGAGGTTGAAAATAAAATATAATA